GACATCATGGATGCTACTGTGGAATGTGGGCAGATCAGAACCTGCTGTTGCAGGGCTATTCCTTGTTGTCAGAGTTCAGTGTTGGCGTTGTGTGTTCTATGCCATTTTTATGCGATTTATTTATGAAATGTATAAAACAAGACTTTGCAAGGTAATTCATAGGATTCAGGAAGTGGAAGTCAGTGATAATGAGGTAGTTAGTTAGTTAGTTATTTAGAGAGGGTGGGTTTCCCCATGCACCGCGACCAGTTTGATCTATTGTGCTTCCCTCTATGATATTCTACCGATAAATGGTGCGTACCATCAGTCCCGCCGAGCAAGCGAGTTCGGCCACTTGCTTAGCGGTGTCTATAATGCTTCCCCCATGTATCAGAGGCCTTAGAGACTAATGTTGGGCGGGAAACGTCCTGGAATTTGGCACAGTGATCCCCTCTGGGGATATGAGGTTCTTTTACGTGCCGTAAAGTTACGAGATAATGAGGTAAATGTTAACACTGACAAGCTCTTCGGCAAGGACGGCAATCAGACAGTTCTGTCTCTCGTCCCAATCAGCAAGCTCTATGAACGCTATGGCAATCCAAGAAAGGCAGAAGAGGATTCTAGTGAGCAGTCACGCAGCGGGGAAAACAAATACCAGAAGAGAGTGATAACATCTTCTACAAATGTGTGGCAATCATCTGTGTGTAAAGGAGCAGGTCACTGACATTGCCAACATTCTGGAGCGGCACAAACACAGCAGCGTGAGGAGAATGTGGGACAGGTCAAACAAATCCCTTTGGTCCCCTAACAGTTCATGTATGGGAATGACGTATGACAGAATTAGAAGTCCGAGCTAGGTATGAATGTTGAAAGAGCATGGGTACCGGCGTAGATGAGGTAAAGCCACCCAGGTTCCACGGGTCGACGTGTCGGGCCGTGTATCGCCGCCAGTTCAAGGTCGTGACGAGGCCCAACACTGGGCACCCCTCCTGAAATCCACGCACCTGCTTGCGGTCCTGCAGAAGTAGGCTGTCGACCTTATGCACGACGTCCCTACTAAAGCTAAGTATGTGGGGATTGTTCAGGCATTTGAGAATCGCTACGGGGACCACCAGCAGACCGCAGAGTACCACTCGCAGCCGAAAGCAGAGATCCATCTCGTCGGGCCTGCAAGAGTTTGGATTGGAGCAATACAAAGAGTTCTCACTGTTAGAAGCCGATACCAAGCAACGAGGACGTGAAGATATAGCTGACTGGGAAGACTAGGAATGTCCCATAGCTATTTGTAGAGTGTAGAGAACAGCGTTAGTGCTCTGTATGTAGTTATGAGTAATATGCATTTAACACATTAATGAGTAAACCCACCTGTGTCTAGTCACTAACATTTGACAATATTTATACACAGTTAACATATGCACATTTCTAGGTCATATTTGTTAAATATAGTTAATGCCATTATCTTTATAATTTCTCAGTTTAACTTGTCTTGATAATATCTTCATGGCCGCCGGTAGGCGGGGGGGCGGGAGACAGAAGAAGCTAGGCATCTGCCCCTTCCCTTGGTTGTTTGGGGGGACAGAAACATTCCAAACAGTAGTACTAAAAACTATTGTAACGCATTTAATGAACACGTTTCCAGGCAACAGCTCTGTAAACGCGGTCCAACACGAAATAATAGATGAAGCTGTGTTTTCTATGTCGTCCGCTCCACGCCCAGTGCTACTAACGGACCAGTCAACTCGCAGTCTGACACGTGACATAAGTTTTGTGTGATCTGTCCCAAGCAATAATATAGGGGCTGTGTTTTCTGTGCGTGGTCCGTGCCGAGAGAATATGAGAGAATGCGGGAAAGGGAATTGACTTCACTTGAGTTCCGAAGTTTCGAGGGAAGAGCAATGTGGCCAGAAGAAGAATTAGAAGACTTAGTGTGTGACGCTACATGTGCTGCAGTACACCGATATTGGGATATGCAATCTAACGAGACTTTTATAGTTCCTGTATTATAAATCCGTTTCCAGGAAACGGTTAGTGAAAACTAGTGGAAATAGACTGAGAAGATTAGCATAGAGTGATTGTAAAGTGTGTAATTTAGTTACTACCTGTAAGTGGTTAATAAATCCAGTTACCAATCCGAACCCCGTCTTTAGTCACTGATACACGTGACATTAGGATATAATCGTTTTAACTCAATTTAAGTTCCTTTGACGGATACAAAAAGTATTCCTAAACGGCTTGCACATAAGCCTGTAAGCAAATTTATGCCCCCCCCCCCAAACTTATAAAGCCCCGCCCGTGCATATCACAAATTTTCAACTGCAGATTTTATTAAGGAGACACAAGGTGCTAGGGACAGTAGTTGAACTTAAGACCTGATAGCACGAAGGAGAAAATTATAAAATGAGGAAATTCGAATTCGGATTTCGGTCTTGTAGTTTATGACACCGCCGAATCTGATAAAGTTAATTAATTTCTATCTGAAAGATGGAAACGCTTGTAGACGTAACCACTTACCAGAATACGGGTGTCATTAATCAGAAGACCATACTCTAAAAAGTATTGTCTCTGAGAGTGGGCTAGTTAGAATGGCCAGAAGCCCAAGTTTGTTTGCAATGAAACAAGAATGTATTCTGCTCAGGCATGAAAAGATGGCGACCTTGTGTTATTTTACAATTCTGCGTGAGATACTTCGGAGAAATTAAAGCATGCTGACTAGGAAGGAAAGCATCTTAACTGCGCTCTGCATAATACGAGTAAATTTCCTGATCTTATCTTCAAGGTGAAAACAACAGATTTTCCTGCATTCTTTTTTTGTTTGTTTTTCAGTCCCTGTGAATATTTTATACATTATAAGTTGTTCCATTTGAACCCCTTGCATGACAGTAGCGGACTAGCTGCAGCATCATAATGGTGAAAACAAATCTTCAGAAATTCTAAATTGTTGCTTAGTAACTGAGAATTGTGAACTCAGGACCTCACAGATATCCCCTCAAAACGGAAGAAGACGGTTGCGACGTGTCAGTACTAATGTTACAGGGAAGTTCTTTGTTCATTCTTGTCGCCCAGCATTGTTACAATGAGGAAATCTCAGGAGGTTGCCTTGTCACGGAGACAGGCTAGGAGAGGGGGGACGAAGAATATGTACAGAATTCTGGCGGGGAATCCTCTTAGGAAATATTTAATTGGAAGACCGAAAATCCAATGAAAATATGCATAACCTTGAAATATATGGAGATGAAAGTGTGAAGGCAGGGAGTGGATGGCAACAGGAAGTTGTGGCGGTTGGTTCTGGCTGGGATTTCAACGAAGAACACGGTTTACGAAGAGGGCGACCGAGGTGCAAGACGGCACGAGTTTCGCATACCTGGAAACACCTGGCCTTGCTTCAGTGTCATTCATGCTCTCTGTCTCGCTACGAGACGTGAGCAGCTTCTGCAGCAAGCGTGGTCCTCACTTCCGCCATATGTGGCAGTGAAAACGTCAGACTGACTGGTCGCTGTGACCTTAGGAGGTGCCGTGCTGAATTCCTTCATAGTCTTCTATTTGTCTATCTAACTACATTCTGTTAAATAAAAAAAATCTATCTATCTATTATTTTGTTTATTTCTAGTGGGGTGGGACTAAGTCCCTTCTATTGCGGCCACTTCTGGCCTATTGTACCAGCCCCAGATGATAGGTGAGGGTGATTGTGGAGCAATTGGTGGAATGAAGATTGGCAGGGGAAACCGAATTGCTTGGAGAAAACCTGCCCCAGCGCCACTTTGTCCACCACAAATCCCACTTGATCAGATCCGGGATCGAAGTCGGGCCGCCGCGGTGGGAAGCCAGCGACTAACCGCTTGAGCTATGGCGCGGCCATCTATCTATCTATCTATCTATCTATCTATCTATCTATCTATCTATCTATCTATCTATCTATCTATCTATCTATCTATTTCTTATTTCCGCCTTTGTTTCTTTATTGCTTATTTTTCGTCCTCACTTTTTCGCTTTTAATTCTTTTACTTGTCTCTTCTTCCTTTCTTTCTTCACACGCTACTTTTCATCATTTCATTTTCTTATTACTTATTGCTCTTATTTTTTTGGTCCACATCTAACTTCCCTTTCATGCTTCCCTTCTCTTTCGCGTCTTTGTTTCCCTGTTTGATTTATTTTTGCTTTCATTTATCTTATACTTCGTTTCTTTCCTTGTTTGTTTTCTTCTTTTCCTTCTTTCTTTGTTTTATTTCTGGACTTTCTTTATATTTCCATAGCCTTCTGTTCTATCTTCTCGATTTTCGTCAATTTCTGTTTGTAATACACACAGTACGAGTATATGATCGCCCGTAGCCGTCGAGTGTAGTCTACAGGGTCTACAGGTACGTTTATTTATTTCTTTCCTCCAGTCGCCCAGGGGCAGTCAAGCCACACGAAAATGGGGTAACGCTCTAGTCTTGTAGGATGATTCGAGAGGTATTGATTTCGAATCTTGGTGAAGTTACTCAGTTTATTGACTTTTCCTTGGTTTTCCCGAGAGAATGCTGGGATAGTTCCTTAAAAGAGACTACGGCCGTATCTTACAGATTCATGCCTGCTTCTCATTCACGAAAAGTATACATATACGAAATGCATGATGTCCGCCTGGCTCTCTATCCGTATATTTAATCTTATAATGTGAAATTCCTCGCCCCACCCCCGCATTGTGATTGTGAAACACACGTATTAACAAACAGGCCTGCAGTAAGTCATTAACCTTGATGTAAAATAGTGTGACGTTTTGCAGAACGAGCACTGCGTTTCGTCACGATCGGACAGTGTTTTGTGTGACTACGTGGTGGCCATAAACTGTTCATAACCAACCGTAAGTTTCCTCCAAAGAGAAACAAAGAGATCATTGGAAGTTAAAATGGCGGGCACATGCTGTAGCCACAAGGCCAGTATTGCCTTACGGAAGTCCGTCAAGACAGATCACAGTCCGACGCGATGGAAAGGTGCAAAAGGGGGGGGGAGGAAGGCAACAGCTGTGTTCTGCTAACTGCTAACAAACTAACGAAAGGAGGAGAGTCTAGTGGAGAAGTTCTGCGGTTGGCGGAGAAGATGCTAACAGTTGACAGTGAACATACCATGCCAGCGCGCGCTTCCTTTTTTGCCCCCAACTAACAAATTAACGGACACGTGTATATAACGGTGAGCGTCCTGGCTGGACAGTCACAATAGCAACCTGACTCGAGGCGTTAGTTACTTCTCCTCGGTAGTGCGGGACAGACGGCAGTACCGCTCATTGGTGGCCGTTAAGTTCTCAATTTTGGATATCTGCATTGCACCACTTCTGTGAAATATTAATTACCATGTTAGGCATCAGTCTCTTGCTTCAGTTTCGAAGAAACGTTTTTCTTCTTTTGTTACAAGTGTCACAATCTTAGTAATTACCTGCAGACTTGTGAGAGACATTCATTTACCGTGTAGCGCCCATTACAAGGAATTTTACCTGTATTCTTTGAGTTACGTTGTTTTATTGTGCAACATGAAGGAGGAATTTTTAAACGCTGATGTAACTCTTTACTCATAAACGCCTTCAGATGACACACAAGTTCTTCATTGCAGTAGTAAAGTTCGTGTAGATACCTTGGTATTTCTTCATCGGGAAATGACAGGAGATTCTAAACATTAACAACAACCGTACCGAATGGAGGCGCCTATTTGGAGTGAACTTGTGAACTGTGTGCACCTGTGGTTATTGTGCGCGTGTGTAGCATGCCCCCAATAATTGTTTGACAACGTGCCGGAAAGCATCTCTTCTGTACCAGCTGTTGTAGTGCAATGTTGGGAACAGGTTGAACCTTGTGGATTTGTTTAATAATGAAAACTGGTGGCAGAATTCGGTATTCAGTGTGTAAATACAAACGAAGAAGCTTTATTTAAATCGTATCTAGCTGCTATTGTTGCGCAATTTTTAGTGATAACAGAGAAGAACAAATAAAAGGGACATTAAGAAAGAATAGCTAAGAGTAGAACTATTTGTTTACTTGGTGTATTAATACGCGATTGCAGAACAATGGCAGATGCTCTGTACCCAACTCAACACAACTTCACGGTTTATGTAACGGAGGTGGACGATGTAGCAGTAATACCCGAAGTAGGGACGAGATATAGTGAGGAGGAGTACGAGAAGTTTCTGGCAGACATCTGGGTAGGCGTCGTGCTCACCCTGATGGTGCTTAGCTGCGTCTGTTGCGTTTGTTCCTGTCTCCTATACCACAAATTCCAGCAGTGGAAGAGAAGTGGTAAGTGTTCATCAAGAATCTCTTGATCCTGGCGTATGTTGGAATGAAAACATTTCGAAGCTCCTAGCTTAGACGTCTGAAATTTATGTGCAGCTTCCTAAAGTTATAGCGAATTTAATATTTATGAACGTTAAATTAAAAACCTGTGAATGTTGATAAGGTAGATGACAGCCTCTGTCCTAAAGAGCAGCTCTTTTTCTAAGGGGCCCAACTAAGTAGGTGTCTCCCTTTCTCACCCGAAGACGGAAACATATCCAGTTTCCGAAACGTCGTGTCCTCTATTACCTAAAATTTCGGACGATGGAAAAAGTCCAAAAACCCAGTAATTCTGTGTGTCATCCACCATCGTCAGAACCCTTTAGAATATACAAGTGCTGAATATTTGGAACAGGGTTGGCAGACATTTCATTGTTATTTGGCTTGACCATTGGAATTCAGCAGAATATAATCAATTTAGTTAGCCTACTTTCACTCTCTTATGAAGCATTGAATAATTTTCTTGGATAATTCATCTGACAGCAAGAAAGTTACGGGGGAGAGTCAGTAAATAGATCACAAATGGAAGTAAAACAACCGTAATTTACGTAATAAGTTTTCTATGTTTATCACTATATAGCACCTCAGTTCAGTTTCATGACAGTTTAGGTAGTAGACGCGCATGCGCATGTTCAGTCTGGTTTCAGTTGTCAAAATGGCGAGCGTGCTTGTGTGTACTGCCGAAGAGCAGAATTCTGTTGTGCGTTTTTATGGGAAAAAGAACTCAATGTGAAGGATATTCATACAGAAATGTTTCCTGTTTACGTTGGGAAGTGTTTGTCGCATAAAGCGGTTCACAACTCGGTCGAGAAATTCTCTCAAGGACGTTCGAAAGTCGCAGATGATGCCTGACCAGGTGCGGAAGTGGCTGAGACAACAGTCAAAAGGACTTTTATGCTGAGGGTTTCGACGCACTGGTAAAGCGATGGGACACGTGTGGAGGATATTTCGAGAAATTAATTTTTTTTCAGGTACGGATATCATATGTTATACATTTTATATCCATTTGTGACCTATTTACTGGTTGTCCCTCGTATTTACATTTCAAAAGGAAACTGTTAGAATCGTGATGAGTGCGAAACCTCAGAGTTCCTGTAGAGGTCTACTCGTGTTTATGAGATCAGAGACCTTATATCTTCCGTGTGAATAATATTCTTAATTAATAAATTGCATTATAAATAACCAAGAATATTTTGAGACTAATTCAGCTGTACACAGTGTTAATTCAAGAAACAAGCACCATCTTCACAGATAAGTTGCTAACCTCCCATGTTTGCAGTTAAGCGCACATTATTTTTTTTTTCATTGGCCCTACATCCCTAGTGGTCCTAGGCCTACCTCCATGAACTTCTCCGTTCACTTCGGTTTTTCTAGATCTTACACATTCGATATGACTCATTGGGCGGGTGATCAGCTCGTCGCAAAGCCTCTACCTGTACACAAACACAGAAAAACGCACACACACCAACTAAACATCCATGCCCTGAGTGGGATTCGAAATCACGATCCCGGTTTGCATGCGAACGAAGACAGTGCATGCCTTAGACCGCTCGGCTACCGTGATCGGCAAGCGCACATTATATTGACATAACAATTTTCAACAATCTACCATATAGTCTCAGAATCGTATAAAAGGAAAGGAACAATTTAAAGTGTCACTAGACCGAGACTTAAATGCACACCCACTCTACTTCGTTGACGGATTTCTATGTAAAAATTAATCATTCTTTTAAAGGTTTGTCTAAATAGCTTACGTTCACAGTATATATATATATTTGCGTGGATGTACTTTTGAATACTTTATGTGTAACCTCTGTGTAGCCTTATGTGAGAGCTTCAGCTGTATTGTAAATATATGTTTTTTCTGTTTTTATGTCTTACGTGTATTTCACAATCTACGGCCATTTTTACTAACTCTGGATCAGTGGAATATATGTAATGTACGTGTACGCATGCGTAAATGGGCAGGCAACATGTTAGTGTTGTTTGGCTCCTTCATGGGATTGAACAGAGCGGTTAGGCAATGTGGGATATCCCCAAAAATTGAACTTGCCGACGGAAACGCAGCAGTTTCATCAGCAATTTTAGAGACACCTGAAGATGACAAATGTTGGTCGAAACATGTATTGTGCATAAAACAGTGATGTAGAAGAGATGTTGACTTTTACAATTTTTGAAGGTTTTAAAAATCAAGTTTAATGTGAGAAGGCTTATGACTAACGGGAATAAACGAGGCAGTGTTACTCGGCTTGTCCTTGGGAAAGACTATAGGAAGAAACTGGTTTCAAATTCCGGTTCTTTGCAGCAGAAGTGACATGAAAAATATTAAAACAAATTCATAAACTCATTATGTACCAATATTAGTTTTCCTGCTTCCACAGAATGAAATATCAATTGCAGAGTATTAGAAACCTTTTCGCACTACTATTCAGAACAATGAAGGACGAATATGACTAATTTCACGAATCAGACACCTTTTAGGGGGTCTAATAGTTGCTCAGCTAGTCAAGTATTTTGTGAAACTGGAAGGTTCATTAACGTGTTCACAATAGCTCGACAGTGAATTCTATTACAGGACAGATAAATCCAATACACATCCTTAAAATATATTTCCTCAACTTTTTAAATATCCTATATATGTGTAGGTTTCTCAAATGGCCAGTTCCCTTAAGATTTTCCGAATAAAATCTCTTTCACACCTTCCATCTGCATTGCATACAGCGGCCATCGTATGCTTCTTGGCTTGGTCACTCTACTGACAATGGTGAAAAGTATACATTATGGGGCCCATTATTATCGAGTTTCCTCACCCCCTATTACTTCTTCCCTTTTAGGTCCAAATATTTTATTCACCACCGCATTTGCAAACATCCTCGATCTGCGGTCTTCCCTTAATATGAGAGACCAAGGTTCACACCCGTGGAGAAAATAGAACCGCAGTAATTATTTCAAGCTCATGTTCCATCACCGTTGCTCTAGAAATAATTCTGTTCCTTATTTTTGTTTTTCATTTGCTTGACTGCTTTAGAGGAGCTTATGTATTGCGCAGCCTACATTTTTTTTTCACTCACTTTTCCTCAGTAACCTTGACCCTTATGCTACTTTTACGATTTTCACGCCCAATTTATTTTCATTTTTCCTTATTTATATTCAGTGCACTTAAACTTTGCCTTACTTTATGCATTTTTTAGGCCCCCTTTCTTTCACATTTGGCTGTCTATTAAACTTTTCAGTTGCCTATTCTCTTTCTTGGCATTTTTCCAGGACATGAGGACATTCAGTTATTTTCCGCTTTACAGTACAAGAGATGCCCATCTAGCATGATGCCTTCTAACCTTGAATTACAGGCTGTGCGAGCAGATAGTCGCTTCTGTTCTTCGTTTCTTTTTATTTCTTCTTCTTCTTCCATTGACGGATTAGGCCCTCGGGCCTTTTTTTGTTCGGAATTAATCTGAAATCATGGATCCTACAGACGGTTAGTGGCACTCCTTGGACGGGGATCAGCCTGTCGCACGGTCGCTACATACACAGGACAACCCAAGCACAGAAAACCCGCACACTTGCGTCTATCCGCATCCAGTGTTCGAGCAGGCGAAAACATTTGATGCCTTGGACCTCACGGTCATCTTTCGTAATATTTGGTTGTCCTGTTACATTAATTAAAAGTTCCTATTTGACATATACCTCCAAACATTGATATATACATAGTAAGTATAAGTTTTAGTCGTGTGATAGAGGTTCTACTAATTTGCCAATTCACGACAAACAACGTCAAGGAAATTTCCTTTGACTTCATCCGCTTCTGTTAATTTAACCTGTATGCTGATTAACTTCGCCCTAACAAACACAGTGTGTTCAGGATCCATTAG